CAGTAGAATTACTGGAATTCTGAGGCAGCTGAGTTCCAGTAAATCCATGTCCACTAGCTGAGTCAAAAATCTAAGTAAAAGAAATGCATAGGTTAAATTATAAATTCCCCACTGTGTGGTGTAACTGTTTTGTGTGCAAACAAAGAGGAAAAGATATAGAACTACAGATAGGTAAAGTTGAACAACTGCAAAATCTTTAATTATATATTTCTCAAGTGAGATCTGTGTGCATAGGGAGAAATGGCAGTGTAGACCGTTACAGCAGGGTTTATGTCCCGCTTGTATTTGTATGTCTTTTAATGTAATAACACGCTTTGTACTTTGCATGAGAGTCACTATATTTTTGTAAAAAACAGATTTTGTTTACATTCTTTAAGCTTGCTTTCGTATGTTTGGTTGATTATATCATTAGCAACCTTCTCCTTGCTCGTTTGCGTCACAGGAAAACAGCAGCCCCAACTCCCAAAAACACATTCCAGGTAAAGGTTTTACAAAGCCATGCTGCCGGAGAATATCAGTTCACTGTTCACCAAACCAATTCATTTTATCTCCCAAACTAAAATGATCAACAGCAGGTTTTTTATTACTCTGCTATGACAACCTGCTCTTTTACCCACCCATGAGTTTGGAATATGTGGTCAAGCGGACAACCATTTAACAACAATACAAATGTTTGCTCATTACTACATAAATTCATTAATGATGTTCTCAAACAGCCAGGATCTTCTCCTTTAAGAATCTGAATCTGAGTAACAACAGCTAACCCAAAGAGTGTGCTGACAATGAGCTGGCTCAGGAGTTCTCTCTGCTGGACAATGCACATATCTCCATTTAGGGGGGTGTTCTTCACCAGCAGCTTTTATATGTATAGTATTTAAGTGCTGCTGTACTTATAAGATTCCCAATCTCTTGTAATGTTTAAGACCTGGGGAGCTAGCCACAAGGTCAAATGCTTCATACCCCAACACTTCCCCAGTTGCATGAATTCACATCACCAGCCCTTCATCTACAGTGAACACTGACCAAATTTTGAAGCAAGTTTTAAAACCCTGCACACCTCCTAATACCCTGAATGATATAATACTGGGGGGAGGATTTCTGCAACTGTTACCAGCAGAACTGTCATTTCCGCATATGACAACACCACACAGAACATGTGAGAAGCTGCCAAGAGATAATGTGAGAACTGTTTATGTTTTATTTTCTGATTTGCTCCTGATTATTGTTTATATCGTACTAAATATCATTAGTTATGGAACTGAATCTGTGGTTCTAAGTGATCCACTGTGCTCAGGACTTTGAGATTCTTGCTAATCACTGTTAACATGCAACTGAGCTGTTTTCCACAGCTTCCTTTCCCTAAACACTAGCAGATGGACAGCCACAGAAGCACAACATTATTGTGTAAGAATCACCCCATGAACATCCAAAAAATGTGAACAGCAGAGAGGTTTCTCAAGGCTTCGTGAGAAGTATGTCTCAGGCACCCACTTGACCATTTGCTCATCTAGATATATTCACCAGCAGTCAAGTTTTACATTGCGGACTCTTAGCTGCCATATTTTGCACCAAATTATCATTAAGAGCAGCCTCCCATCGAGTTACATAATCAAGTCTGATATTAGAGCTTGCTTATTTAAAAGCATTTTCCCCCATCAGATTTGTAAACATAGGACTTCCTTGCTGACATTTCATGCTTGGCATATGCTTCTGTAGAACATTTTATTCAACTTTGCTTTACCATGCCCCATCAGTGATAGTTAAATTACCATATTTATGACCTTTCAAAACAATTTGCTACTATGAACATCAAAGGAATAGATAACAATCCTAAGGAACCACATATAATGCAGCTTCCCATCTCTTCCATTAAGTAACTGACTGGAGTAAATATATTTAAAAATCCATGCCCCTTTATTAATGTTTAAAGCAGAGGCTGTACCAGTTTTATATGTGCATTACTCATACACAATTAGGTCTGCTGCAAGCGATAATAAACTATGGGACCCTCATCCTACATATTCATTTATCTAATTTTTATCCTCCCCATCCTCCAAGGAGTTCAAGGAGGCAAACATAAAATTCCCTCTCTCATGTATGCCAAGGTATAGGCCTGCTTGCCATTTGGCACAAGCCTAGCTTTGTTGGGGTATAAAATGATGCAGTCAACTAATAGGGAAACAGTTACAGAACAGACTCTGTAGTGGACAAACTTTTCAAGAATGCCATGTTGATGAGAGATCCCCAGGCTGTTCTCATCCTTTTCCCCACCCATCTCTGCTGTTCCAGTGCCTGCCGTGGCTGTCACCTGGCCTTGATGACTTTGCCTTCTCATCAGCACCTACACTCAGAGTTCCGAGTTCACTCATGATTCAGTACAATGCCACAAGACCCCTCTTTATTTTTTAGTAACTTGGTGTGGCAAGTAAGGGGAGCCAACCTTAAATATATTCCAAGGGTTATTGTTACAGTTTTGTGGTGTTTAAAGATAGGCTTGGATTCCATCTAGACGTTCTGCAGGTGGAGGGGGTGGAGACCCCCTCTCGCAGCAAATTTCCAACTCTCCCGAAATTATTCCTGAGGGTCCCTCCACCCACCAGGAGCAGCATTTTAGGGAACGTTTGGAGTTACAGAGAGAGGAATAGCCAAGGAAGGTATGTTCAACAGATGGACAGCCTTCCAAACGCACAGATTTTTAGGTGGGATGCAAGGTACAGTCTTGAATGGTTCGCAAAACTAAGAATACTCATATTCAAGAGTGCGTGTATTGAATGATTATCATATACGGTGTACAAAGAAGACCAAAGAATAATTCCTGCCACATGCTTATACTGCTTATACTGCCACTGAAATATTATGGAACATTACGGCACCTGCATGAAAAGCCCAAGTTATTAGTGATGACTCACTGCATCCACTTTTCTCGATCCAAGCCAATGCCTAAGAAGCAAAAAGATGATGCAATACTGCATACAGAGCTCCCAAGCATCTTTTTTCCCCTTTCAAATAGCTGGAACACAGGACCCCAAACTCGTCTGTTTGCCTCAATAGGATAAAAAGCAGCTCCATGAGGCCATCCTTGGTTAGGAAATCAGCACCAGGGAGAAGGATTTACACCCCTACCCACACTACAATCCAAATCCGAAGCAGAATCCTGCACACTGATGACTTAAAAGGTGGTTTTATACATGAAACTTCCAGTATGGAACTCCCAACATCTTGTGTTTGGCTTGGGAAGTATTTTGGTCCAAAACTTTTCAATGTGAAAGAGGCCTGTTGATAAGTAGGGCACATACTGTTGGCGTATAGCTAATACTGTTTGCTAAGCATTCTGCTAAGTTACAATCTAAATAAATAAATACATCTTGATTGGACTGGAAATCCTATATATCGCAGATTGAGCCTGGAGGGGACGATGACAAAATGAGACATTTCATCCCTCTAATGCTCTTCTATGATAACTCCCCCCCAGGAATTATCTCGATGCATCTAAAAAAGCACATCTTTATAGGTGCACAGTACTGAATCAATGTGCTAAGCATCAGACTGTAAAAGTACCCATTTAACCTTTAAAAAAAGGCATATTAATCTACAGCATTGAAACTGTAGCATGAAAAGGCAAACAAAATTATCCTAGGCTGAAGACCGTGAGCAATGTTCAGTTGCTAAGCTAATGTAGAGCTGTAACTGATAAATGCATTAGCCTAAGAGGTGATAACCAAACTAATATAAACTAAATCTGCAAAGTTTGGCTTTGTAATAAATTTAAGCTTATTAGAGGAATAACTATGAAAAAGCTAAATAGAAATCTCTTCCTTGCTCAATGCAAAATTTAAAAAACCACAAGGTGCCAGTAATTTATAGTTATAGTAAACTTGGTCAAGGTGGGCTTTTTCTTTTCATGTTTCATTACATATCTGGAGCTAATGAGAGACAATCTATATGTTGCTGGTGAATTCTCAACCCTAATAAAATGTTACATTACTTGTACTAGCTATGTTCTCTTTCCATAACCTTTCACTTTTCTCTTACTGCCTAATACGTGACTCTACCCTTTTGGAGATACTTGAACACTTTAAACTGAATGTAGTTCATTCAGTTCAGTTCAACAGACCACTTCAAAGCTTCTTAAATTAGGAGGCCTCCATAATCTGGAGAAAGGCTTCAAATTTTGCTCAGTGGAGTGGGAGCATAGGGGAAGGATCCACTCCATTGTGCTTATATGAACACATGAACACACGTGAAGCTGCCTTATACTGAATCAGACCATTAATTCATCAAGGTCAGTATTATCTACTCAGGCTGACCGCAGCTCTCCAGAGTTTCAACCAGAGATCTCACACATTACCTATATCTGATTCTTTCAACAGGAGATGCTGGGGAGTGAACCTGGGGCCTTCTGCATGCCAAATAAATACTCTACCTTTGAGCTACGGCCCCTCCCCAACTTGCAAGTAGGCAGGCCTGCAGAAAAATTAGAGGAAGACACTTAAGATGTGTTCCCCATATTACCCCAAAGGACAGAGTGGGGAGAGAGAGACAAAGAGAGATACTAAGGCTTCTCCCAATAGTTACACACACAAAACCAAATTGGGTGTGAGATATCAGTGAAGAAAAATTCCAAGAGAACATCTGATCCAGGCCCTGATATCTCTCACTGGCAACTCTCAGAACTATCTCTCTCATGGTAACTGCAGAAACTCTCAAAAACATCTCACTGGGAACTCCCCAAACCATCTCCTCATGCACCTGAAATACACATGTGCTCTTTGCTGCATACCAGCAGGCATTCACTTGACTGCCTTACCTGTAGTAGAGGTCAAGTGAATACCTGCTAGTACACAGAAGGCAGTTTTCCTCACACCATTGTTTGTGGCAGAAGTCTATTTTGATGCTGATCAATTAATTCAAATAGTTATTTCATCTCTAACAAGTTAATTTTAGGTTAATTGATCTAATTCTTTCTTTAAAAAAAAAATGAACAAAGAGGGGAGAAAAACCTGTGTTATCGATGGCCTTTTCTCCTTTGCCTTTCTTGCCAGAGTGTCCAACCCCTTAAGGGAGGAAAACAAACCCTTCTTACTCCATACTCTCTGGGACAGGGACAGTGTTCGCTTCCTAAGAGCAGCTTCATCCCTGGAACAGACCTAATAAAAGTGAGAGACAAACAAGAACTTCAATACAGACATTTTAAATAATCAAAAAAAGAACAGAACTACGATGAAGGAAGAAATAAAGGCTGTTACTATTCATCTCAGAAATAACAACCACTTCAGGCAACAAGCTTTGCCCTGTTGCAGAGCTCATTCAACAATCCACAGCTGTGTGCCTCCTGTTCACTCTGCCATCGTATGTACCAAAACAATATAACCTTGATCACCAATGTGTACTGAAAATGCATTCTTTAACCACATTCGTTATAATTTAATTTAAAACTGACAGTTTAAAATAACAGTAACTAAAAGAACACACAAAATCCCGTAAAACATCCAATGAAAACAGAGTAACGTTTTAAATTGACTGAAATACAGTTAAAGAATGCTTTTTCAAATACATCAGTGATCAACGTTATATAGCATATTCATTTAATAAAAGTATCAATAAGACTTTCCCATGAAAGGTAGTATTTTGTTCAACCTAATGCATTAGTGCTTTGTCTTCAGTAGGAACCTCTTTGTGATTTATTGCTTCAAATGTAACAAAATTACCTACACATAAGTGAAAAACTGCACACAGGCTGCGGTCACACGGAGCATTTGCCGCGCTGACGATACGGATGGTAGGCGGATTTTCCGGCCGCAATCACACTGCAACATCTGGGAAGCGTAGAGCTCCCGTGGCTAACCCAAGGCTTCCCGCCGAAGATGCGGAGTAAAAAACTAGTACCTCTGAGGTACTAGTTTCCGGAAACCGCGGGGCAAGGGCGGGCGTCTGATCGCGTTTCCGGTGGACTTACGTGGCATCCGGCGCCCGGTGCTGTTCGTCGCACACAAGGGGGTTTTTTTGTCTCCCAAGTCTCCACAGGTCGTGCAATAGTGCCCAACAGCACGTGTGCACAAAGAGCGATTGCTAGTGCAATCGCGCGGCGCAGCTTCTGTGCCGCGCTGCAGGATACCCGTCTGGTTGGCATCTCCCCCCTAACCACAGGACCTCGACCGGGACGTGTGCTCAGGCGGCCATGCTTTAGTTTCCTCCGGGGCAATTAGCCATGCCTCCCCCCCCGCGATATCTGGCCCGTGTGACCGGGGCCACAGATTACTTATTAGAAACAAACACACCTTACATCTATGAGCAGGGAAGCTGTGGTCAATTACAGCTTTCCCAGACAAGAAGCCATTTGTTTGGATTCTGAATGCACAGAGAGCTCAGTAGGATCATGCTCAGTGGCCTCACACCTTGTGCATTCAGCAGAAAGCTTCTACATGCTTAGGAAGCTTGGGAAGGGAAGGGTCCCTTAAAACCATGTGCCTCTTCTGACATAACTGTGGACATGTGGAGGGAAGGGCATAGTTAGGCACAATGCCACCCCCTCCCCCCACACACACAAATTCAGCACATGAAAAAAGAAATAAATGAACAGAGCAGCAGGCACATGTGCCATGGAAACACTTTCATTGTAACGAATTAGTCATGTTTGAAGCAGTTTTTGTTCAAACAAGAAAAGGGACACAAACTAGGACTTCTGGGTAAATCCAGCTTCTGAAGCCACTATTTAGAAGTTTCGGAGGAACCCAAATGGCATAAAACAGTATGTACAGTTTTCAGTTCTCCAGAACTCTTCATAAAGCTAGATGTTTTAACAAAAAAAGGGGGGAAGTAGAACAAAAGATGTTTCGGGCTTCTTTTTTCTCACAGTTTTTGTAACACTTTTTAATTTACTGGCTGAATACCGAACAATACTGGTTATGAAAAACATCAGTATCTTGCCACAGACATGTCCACATTTTTATATTGTGCTTTTATAGAAACTTTTTCTGGCTTACCAATGCATGAAAGGAGGAGACTGAGAAGATGCCAAGCCTTCCTAGTGTCGTTTTTGAAGGGCGACCTGCAGCAGCCAGAAGACTCTTTGGATTGGGTAACTCCCCACCTTGCAAGCTGGCTAGGTAACAGCGCATCCTGAAGAGATCCATATTAAATTTCTCCAGATTCTGTTCCCATTGCTGGATCTGTTTAGTTAAACAAGTGAAATTTTAGAAGAGAAATTTTAACAGAGTGTCAAATTAGAATCTGGAGACCCACACTAACTTCTTCACTGTGTCATGAAACTTGTTAGGTCATCTGGGGCCAGTCACTCTCTCCCAGCTTAACGTACCTTCATAGGATGGCAGAAATGAGTTGTTGGGAGAAGGGCAGGATTTAAATATATATTCATTCACAGAGGGAATAAATTATATTCCCTTGCTGAACAGATGCAGTACTGTGTGCAAGAGGTGCTAGCAGGGGCCACAATATTTATTTCTGAAGATACCAAACCAACTGGCATTTATGTTTTGGGTTCCAATAAGTCCTAAACTTATGCAGGATGTGCGATGAAATTTTGGTGTGTCTCTAAGTGGATTCAGGATTTTTTGGATTCGGATATATTGGACTGAAAAAATTCAGGATTCAAAAAAAAAAAAAAACCTGAATCCAATTTTGGTATGAAATTCAGATTTGAGTGGTTTTTTTTTTTTTTTGTTTTTTTTGCAAATCCCGAATATTTTCCAGCTCCATTACACCCAATGGGACTATTATAACTTCTGGTGCATCTCCTCAAAAGACGCCCCAAGTTTCAATAAAATTGGACCAGGGGGTTCATTTCTATGGGACCCTAAAGAAGGTGCCCCATCCTCTATTATTTCCAATGGTGGAGAAAAAACAGCAAAAAACAAGGCCTGATGTAAAACCAGAGAATCTCTGCAGTAGAAACTGAAGGTAGAGGAGGGATTTTTCCAAGCCCAACAGAAGCAGAGCGTGTACAGAGTGCCCAGCAGAACCAGTGTCACTGTGGCAATGCCAGCTCAACAAATCCAAGCAAGGGGGGGGGGTTTCAAGACCAACACAGAGTGCCCAGCAGAACCAGTGCATTT